TTTTGCCACGTCACTCTGTTTACATTTTCTTCTCGTACCATAACTCTTAATCAATATTCCTTATCAGTTCATATTTCTCTGGCTCTTGCTGCACACATTGCAACGCTCTCAAGCACCTTCTGCGTCACGGTCCTTCTGGACCCACATAGCCCCCGCCATGCAGTTACTGCGCAGGTAACAACATGGTGCGGCTGTAGCCTTGCAAAGGATTTAACTCGAGTCTATGGTATCTACGAGTGCCTCAGTCGGCGATCTCTCGCATTGATCTGCATCTACCTCATCAGGCATCGCACGTAGCTGTTCGTGGGCATACTTATACGTTCGTTTACTTGACAGAGATCTCAAAACATACCGGTCACCATCAAGCCTTTCTATAATGACAAAGGGTTCCTTTATACTTCGGATCCAGCTTTGTTTGGTGCCGTTCTTCACTTTTGAGCAAGACATGGTCGCCCACATTGTAATGTACAATCTTGGCTTTGTTTTTGTCAAATCGTTGTTTTTCATATTCGGCATTCTTGTCAATATTTAGCAAGGCTCTGGTTCTAGTGCGTTCAGTATCAATTTCTTCCTCCTCAACTAATGGCATCATACCCAATGGTCTAGCCTCCTTGCCAATTAATAACTCTAACGGACTGACTTTCGTTACTCTATTGGCCGTGCAGTTCATGGCCAACTGTACCTCTTTTAAGGCTTCTTGCCAAGACCGCTCACTCGTTACTACCGCTGTCAACATTGCTTTCATGGTACTCATAACGCGCTCCACCTGACCATTCGCGCGGCTAGCACTTGTTGCTATCAGATGTAAATCGATTTTTGATGATGAACAAAACTGCTTAAAATCACTACTGGCAAAACTTCGGCCTTGGTCGGCAATCACACGACTAGGCACTCCAAACATGCATATGGTTGACTTTAGTGCCTCAATGCAGCTACTTGCGTTAAGGCTAAGTGCGTGATGCAAATTAACATACTTAGTGAAAGCGTCTATTTGCACTATCACATACTCTTTGATGTCATTTTTACCACTCAACTTGCCACTAATGTCCATATGCACTGTATGCCATGGTATACATACTTTGGGTATGGGATGGAGTTCTATTTGAGCCCTACCAGAAGTCGATTTTGAAAGTTTGCATATGATACAGTTCTCGACAAATCTTCGCACGTATTTCGACATGTTCGGAAACCAATACTGGGTATATACCTTATCTAGCGTTTTCTCCCAACCTAAGTGCATTATAGCCTCATGCACGTGATTGATCACTGACCATCTAAATGCTCGCGGTATCACTGGTAAACATCGATTTCGTCCATTTCTTTGTATCTTCCTATACAACATGCCTGATCGCAATTCATATGTTTTCGCGTCTTCATGACTCAGTTCGTTATTTTGCAACTTTATCATTAAATCCGAAATTTCTGAATCTCGATGCTGCTCTGCGAGTAGCCAGTTATCAGTAATATCTGCCAACTCCACGCGCACTTCTGCTACTTTAGTGGCTTTTGGAGGCTTATCAACCGGTAGTGGATTTCGAGAGAGAAAATCAACATGCGCCATGCTGTTTCCCTTCCTATATTCAACCTCAAACTCAAAGGACTGTAAGTATGCCCACCAACGATGGACTCTCGGCGTCAAATCTTTTTTGTGTCGACTAGCTTTGAGTGAGTTGCAGTCGGTAAATACTACAAATGGGCGGCCATGTAGATAATGGCGAAAGTGTTTTACTGCATTATATACCGCCAGGGTTTCTAGTTCATATGAATGGTATCTGGCTTCTGACCCCGTAGTGCACTTGCTGAAATACTCTATGACCCTTGGTTTACCGTTAACCTTGTGCATCATTATGGCACCATAGCCATCTGCACTAGCGTCGGTGTGAAGTTCAACCGGTAGCTGTGGATCGTAGATGATAAGAACCGAATCACCAACTAATGCAGATATTATTTCTTGACGCACCTGCTCGTCCCTATCGCGCCACTCAAATTTGCTGTTTTTTGTCGTTAGCAGATACAATGGTTTCATCAATTCAGAAAACCGAGGGACGAACTGTCGAAAGTAGGATGACAAGCCAATAAATTGCCTCAGTTGTGTAACCGTCTGTGGTGGTGGCAATGCGGCCAATGCCTGAATCTTTCGTGGGTTTGGTCTTATTTCACCATTTTCAATTTTGTACCCTTAGTACTCAACACTTGTCTGCAGAAAGGAACACTTGCTTATATTGTAGGAAAACCCAGCACTAGTCAGTCTTTGCAACACCTCCTTAAGTCTCATGAATGCCTCCTCTTTTGTACTAGCAACAATCAAAACATCGTCGATGTAAAGAATTGCGTACGAATGTGCCACTTCACCCAAGGCTCGCATTATGGCCCGCTGGAACACTGATGATGCGTTCTTTAAGCCAAAAAGCATGGCCACGAATTCGTATTGGCCTTCTGTTGTGACAAATGCTGTGCGTTCAACCGAATCGGGATGTAGGTATTTGTATCTGGTAGAAACCACTCGCCATGTCGAGACTTGAGAAATACTTGCCGCCGCGCAGTCTATCAATTTGGTCCGATATTAGAGGCAACGGGTATTTATCTGAGACGGTGTTAGCATTCAATTCTCGATAATCGATACACAAGCGATCGCTGCCATCCTTCTTTTTGACTAGCAACATGGGACTCGCAAAAGGGGAACAGCTTGGACGTATGACTTTCGATGCTAAGAGTTCCTGTATCTTGTTTCTCACTACTAACTTTTCTTCAACGCTCAATCTATACGGACGCCTCATCACTGTTTTATTGACATCAATCAGACGGATTTCTAATTCACCCGTGGTAACTTGACGGCTAGGTATACCCTTTATAAACGCTGGTGCATGCGACTTCAATATTTCTGCAAGTTCAACTTGGTCGGACTGACTCAAATTCATACCTCCATTCACTGTATCCATGATATTTAACTCAACAATGTTTGACAGTGTATTGACTGTGCTGATCTTGTGTAAAACAAACTTATTGGCATCTATGGTTACGCCAAAGCCCTGACCCAGAATTTCACGGCCAATCAGTACATCATACTTTAAATATTTGTCCATAACAACGTGAAACAAAATTTCAATGGAAAATTCACATATCTTTACGGTGGAAAGAATTTGAATTGAGCACATCACAGAACCTTCACCTATGCCACTTATATGCACCGTGTTATTTATCCTTTTACCCATGAACTTATCAGCTAGTTTTTCTTTTAATAAGGAGCACTCTGCTCCTGAGTCAAAAAATATGAAACGGGCTCACCCTGTTGGTACAAGGTCCCCTTAGGATCGACGATGGTGCACACATCCACTCGCTTCTCATACGTGTTGCCCTTGGTTGACGATGATGTAGCCGTACATTTGGTTGCAATATGGCCCAACTGGCCACACTTGAAGCACGTTACGGCTGACGTGTCCCTCTTCGGTATGGAGTTGCTGTGCGACGAGTTGCTTTTTGAGTCAGTTATGTTTCCAGGTCTTCTTCTTCGGCATTCTGCCATCTTGTGTCCCGGTTTGCCACAAAAGTGACACTTCCCTTGCCACGAGGATCTCTGCTTCTTCCGCTCTGGGCCACTACTGTAGTCTGGTGTGCTACAGTCACTGCGCTTTCCAAAGGTATAGGCGCGCAATTGTTGTTCCAGTTCACTTCGAGTTTTAATATTTGTTGTGAATAATAGGTGCTGCAGTCGTTTGTCTATTTGCGCAGTGTGCGCCAGCACGACCGATACAGCGATTTCTTCGTTTCTCATTTTCTTCCACTTCCGCTTAACATCCTTAACATTAATACTTAAATACTAAATACTTCATGCTTAATACTAGATCCTTAACTTACACACAGTAGGGATATCCTACTATCCTATACCAATCCTACATCAATGTTGCAACATTTTTCAAATATATGGAAGTATAGAAAGATGGTGATTTAACACTTTTCCAGTTTGACTTTTCCACTTTGACTTTTCCACTTGCGCAGCACAATCCAGCCGATTCTCTTTTAAACTTTAACGCACTGCAATATCGGTATATTATCGCCATTGGTCCAATATCTAAATTTTCAATATCACTGTAGTTCGTAGTGGGGTCATATTGGAATGCCAAGCGATTGAATGATGCCAATGATCTCCATGTGCTCATTTGTCTTTCTTCGCTTAAGTTTTGTGAATATACTTGTTGCTGGCTTGGATGTCTGCGGCCAATGTTTGCACGTCGTCCTTTAAGCATTTTGGACTATGGACAGAGTGGTGAACTTATCCTCAAATGCACGATCCACATAATTTTCACAGTTCAACTTAAATTGAATAAAAATTCTTTTTTTTCACAATTTCACAGTGAACACAAAAATTGAGTTAAAATGCTATGGGAGCGTGTTTGTCAGTGTGATGAGGTAGCAACTCACTTTATATGCGACAATGTTGCAATTTTCTTACGGATCCCTAATTTTTTTCAAAATAAATTATAGCCTATTTAACTCCACGATAACATAGCTTTCTATCGGTGAAAGAATTTTTTAAATCGGACCAGTAGTTCCGGAGCCTATTCGCTGCAAACAAACAAACAAACAAACAAACAAACAAACAAATTTTACCTCTTTATAATATTAGTATAGATTAGTATAGACAAACTTAGTAAGTAACTATACAAAAGTCTAGAACTGAGTAAATTATGTACAGAAATGATAAAATCATGTTTGGCAGACGATGTTGTTGGAACATAGGCCGTAGTACAGTGAATGTTAGAAGAGTACGTTGCCATCTGGTGGCGAAACGGAGTTCGCCGGGGTTTGCTAGTTTAGAATAAAAGTCTGGGTTTTTCAAGTGTCAAAGGACAATATGCTTGTCGAGTAGACTGGACCGCCAAAGACGCTGGCAGCGCAGCAGTCGCTTTTAGTACATTTTTTTTAATATAACAATTATGCCTAAAAAATGTATTGTAACATAAAATATTTTCGTTATTTCATTTTCGATTTTTTTTTTCCAGCCTTACATGGAAGAAATATTTACCCAACTGAAAGGAAAACCATTCAAAAAATTCTTGGAAAGGTAAGTTACACTCAATACTCGAGTCTCTTTATTCTCAGATACTATTAAAGGAAGGTATTAAAATTTGAGAGATTTTCGCAACGCAGTATAGTAGACACTTCCAATCTCATTAGGATATTATTTTCTTAATCAGCATTACCAGCTACAAAGTCCAAGCAACAATTCTAAACGAACGCCTGACAGAAAAAAATTGAGCCATCACTAAGGACATCTGAGAGGACATCTGCCTAATCTCTCACAAACTCAGTGATATACAATACGAAGATGATGACCTTGAGAACCTAGCCATCTGTGTGGGTCTACAAATTAACACAGCCAAAAGAAAGGAGATGCGCTTTAATCAAGCGAGCCAAGGGAGTATCATCGTATATAGAATGCGTCGAGAGCTTGGCAGAGTCAGCTTTCGGGCGACTCTACCGCATATGAAAAAGCCGTCAAATAAGCAGAAACACCAAGATACCATCCTACACGAAAGTGAGACGTGGCTAACAAATGCGGGATTTTCTGGTCAAACAGAATCTCTAACATAGACCTCTGGGATATGACAGGTGAAACTGCAATAGAACTTCAAATCAGGAAAAACAAGAAAGGAAGCTAGCTTCGGCAAGCCGAGGCTTATATACCCTTGCTGTCATTAAATACGAGGTGTGTTCAAAAAGTATAGCGAATTTTGAATTCTCGTGGGTTACCTCGTATCGAATTTCGATTTTTTTGTGACGTTATGTTGGTACTCATGTCTCTCACTTATGCCGACAAGCTCGGACATTTTGAATGTTCACTTAATTGTTGACAGCTGCTTTGCTTGCACGTAATTTGGAACGTCTTTGATTTTTACCTATTCAAAAAAATGGATCAAAGAACCTGTATCAAATTTTGTGTGAAAAACGAAATTAAGTGCGTGGATGCATTCCGAATGTTGACTGTGGCATACGGAGCAGCTACCTTGGACCGAAGCAACGTTTATCGGTGGAACAAAATGTTCTCAGAAGGCCGAGAAGATGTGAACGACGAAGAGCGTGCCGGACGCCCGAGCACTTCAACAACAGACGAAAAAATTAATGAAGTGGAGAAGTTGCTGAGGTCCTAAACATATCGATTGGCTCGTGCCATTCGATTTTTATCAATGATTTGGGCATGAGATGGGTCGCCGCAAAATTCATACTAAAATTGCTCAAATGCGACCAAAAACAGCATTGCATGAACATTGCTAATGAGATGTTAAACTCTGTCCGCGACGACCCAAATTTGCTCTAGAGGGTCATAACTGGTGACGAATCGTGGCTTTATGGTTACGACGTGGAAACCAAAGCTCAATCATCTCAATGGAAGCTGCCGCACGAACCAAGACCGAAGTTTTGCTGACAGTTTTCTTCGATTGCAGGGGTTTGGTGCATCATGAGTTCTTGCCACAGGGAAGAACGGTCAATAAGGAATATTACCTGCAAGTTATGCGCAATTTGCGCGAAGCAATCGGCCAGAAACGCCCGGATTTGTGGAAGAACAAAAATTGGCCTTTGCACCACGATAAATGCCCTGCTCACACGAGATAAAGACGGCATCGAAGGAGGAGCTGAGCAAGATAAAAAAAATGATTTTTTGAAGTGCTTCAAAGATTGGAAAAACCGTTGGCACAAGTGCATAATATCTCATGGGGATTACTTTGAAGGGGACGAAGTAGATATTCATGAATAAATAAATAATTTTTGAAAAAAAACGAAAATTCGCGATACTTTTTGAACACACCTCGTATTAGAACAAAATACATAAAGGCTAATAAACAACATGGAAGCTATGACGATTTTTTTTTATTGATTTTCCATATTGTTCATATGACAGCTATATGATATTGTCGTCCGATTTTGATAAAATTTATTTTGAAACTCAAGACTTATTAGAAAATTCTATGTTCCAAAAATAATGATTGTCTGATAAAAAACAACGAGGTAATCATTTTATTTCCGTTATTTCTATATATATATTTTTTGATCATAACTATGGCAGCTATATGATATAGTACTCCGATTTTTATACCCTTGCAGAGCAAAGGGTATTATAATTTTGGCCAGAAGTTTGCAACGGAGTGAAGGAGACACCTTAGACCCCATAAAGTATATATATTCTTGATCAGCATCACCATCTGAATCGAAATACGTCTGTACGTCTGTCCGTCTGTCCGTCTGTCCGTCTGTCTGTCTGTCCGTCTGTCCGTCTGTCCTCCTGTCCGTTTCTGCCCAAACTAGTCTCTCATTTTTAAAGCTATCTTGCTGAAACTTTCCCAAAAGGTGTGTAGCTATTGCACGCAGTATATAAGTCGGAACGGGCCGGATCGGGCGACTATATAGGATAGCTCCCATACAAGAGATTAAAATACAAAATTCTAACGCCGTTGTTTTTGATCAGATCGACTTGATTTCTTCCACATGGCGTTTTCTAGTTACTATTGAATTTCGGGTTAAATTTTATCGAAATCGGATAACTCTATCATATAGCTGCCATAGGAGAGATCAAAAAATATATAAAGAATTAATGGAAATTAATTGATAAGGTGATTGTTTTTCATCACACGACTATGATTTTTTGAGTATCAAGTTTTTTAACTAGCCTTGGTTTATAAAAAAATGTTCATAAAAATCGGACAACTATATCATATAGAAAGATCGAAAAATCTATATAGAATTAACGGAAATAAAATGATAACATCGTTATTTCTCATCAGAAAATCATGATTTTTGGAATATAGAGTTTTCTAACGACTCTTGAATAACAAATAAAATTTCATCAAAATCGGACGACTATATCATATAACTGTCATATGAACAATAGTCAAAAATATGAAAAATTAGTAGAAAAGTCGTCGTTGCTTCGATGTTGTTTAGCCTTTGTGTATTCTGTTCGAAATATTTGATGACTGCAAGGGTATATAAGCTTCGGTTTGCCGAAGCTAGCTTCCTTTCTTGTTATGAAATTTTTTTCTCGATTTAAGAGGAGGGTAAGATGGGGTAAAACCGCCGGTGGGTAAAACCGCCATTTGGATTTCAAATTCAAATGAAGCGCCGAAACGATTAACCGTTGATAATGTAGATTCTGATTGATAATGCGCGGTTTTTGCAGTCGGTCGGAATACTGCAGCTTTGTCGTGAAAATTTCTATTGCGCCATTTTTGTTTCACTCGACGGCAGCAAAAAATTTTTGTTATCAACATTGCTCAATCAAGTGTAAATGAACGGCTTGAAAAAAAAGAGGTAAGTGTCCGCTTATAGTAAGAACCTTGATACTGATGTACATATATCAAGTTAGTCAATATTTCCAAAATTGTACAAACTAAGTGACCTCGAAAAAAAATTGGCGTGTGGGGTAAAAACGCCGCGAAAAGGTATTGCTCAGAAGCTTTAATTTTTTAAACTCTATAATATTTTACTTTTCTATAATATTGAAGCGGACACTTTGGAAATTCACTAGGCACTTAATAATTGTGAAATTGACTGTTGAAATTGTTAAATAAAAAGTTTTTGCAACATTTCAATGGATATAGTTTTTAAATAAAAAACTTCTGAATCCACATGTTGGAAATTTTGAAATTGAAGATTTTCTTCTATTAGGTATCAATATCTAAGATTTCAATATTTTATGATAATAATCTACTTGTTATTGACATTATTTGGGTACTTAACTACACTGAACCCAGAATGGCGTTTTTACCCCACTAGGTGGGGTAAAACCGCCGTTTTAAATTTTTCTTCTGAACGATCACAATTGTTTTAAAATAAAAGCTACATAAAAACTTTCTAAATGAATTATGTAGCCAAGGGATTAAACTTTCAGAAATATGGGTTGGTTCATTGATCATTTTATAAATGATAGCTTGACATCGTCAAATATACATTTCTGGAAGAAAGCAAGTCGATCTGATCAAAAACAGCTGCCTGAGAATTTTTTATCTCGCTCTCTCGTATTGAAGCTATCCGATATAGTCGGCCGATCCGGCTCGTTATGACTTATATACAGCGTACAATAACTACACACCTTTTGGGAAAGTTTCAGCAAGATAGCTTTAAAACTGAGAGACTAGTTTGCGCGGAAACGGACAGAGGGACAGACGGACAGACGTATTCTGAGAGACTAGTTTGAAGAGAAACAGTCAGATAGACAGATAGACAGACAGACAGACGGACAGACGTACATACGTATTTGGATTCTGATCGTGATTCTGATCAAGAATATATATACTTTATGGGGTCTGAGGTGTCTCCTTCACAGCGTTGCAAACTTCTGACTGAAATTAGAATACGCCTTGTTCTGCAAGGGTATAAACACCATCTGGAAGAAATCAAGTCGACATGATCAAAAACAACGGCGTGAGAATTTTTTATTTCATTCTCTCGTATGGGAGGTATCCGATATATTTGCCGATCCGGCCCGTTCCGGCTTATAAACTGTGTACAAAAACTAAAAAACTTTTGGGAAAGTTTCAGCAAGATAGCTTTAAAACTGAGAGACTAGTTTGCGTAGAGACGGACAGACAGACAGACGGACAGATGTACAGACTTTATAAGGTCTGAGGTGTCTTCTTCTGCGTTGCAAACTTCTGACTGAATTTATAATACCATTTGCTCTGCAAGGTTATAAAACAATACTCTGACTGATTACCTCGAGAAAAACGTCGCCTTTAAAACGCATATCAATTTGTTTGTTTCGGATGATGTTATGATGTTCAATTTTTTTTCAAGGCGCTTCTGGAGATTAGCCGTCACAGTACTATCTACTATATAAAAATAAATCGGGTTTTCCTTCCTGAGGCTTTAATTCCAGAACGCACGAAGCAATTTTAATTCGGTTTGTTGTGTGTGATAGAGCACCTCCCAAGGAAGGTTTATAGAAAGAAAATTTTTACATATGCGTTTGCACACATAGGGGAATGTTGTCAGGCTTGGGCCATCTCAATATTTTGAATATTCGTTCTAGTACCATCTGTTTGTGGGTGTCTAGAAACTTCTATCGGT